GTAAAGCAGTGTGTATTTCATTCTGAGATGGTAGCACCTTCCTTAACTCAGGGTTATATAACCAGTACTTCCACATGTTTGTAAGCAATTCTCTCTATGACATATTTCTTCACTTCAGTTATCTAGAGAGATTTATATAACTATTATGCAATTGTCCACTTCACCTCATCCTTGTAATATTTTGAGGGGCGAGTAAAGCAAAAGCAAAGCAAAGTTGCATTAATAAAAGATAGATATTTAATAACTTTATCTTTTTGTTGGTGGTGGTGATCAACTTTGCTACCAACTGAACATGAAGTATAGTATTTCAATAACTTTTTATGACTGTTTAATCTTTTACCTTGACATAGTAGTCTTCAGACTCCATTCTACATTTTTCTTCTTGCTTCTTTTTTTTATTTATTGCATCTATATAATTTGATTTTATCAATTGATCCTTTTGATTCTTTTGAAATCACCTAACTACACCACCTGACTCCAACTTCTTATTGTACTTTTTGATAATACAATTTAATATCCTTTTTTTTCAAATCAATAGGAAGGTAGAAATGATTAGGTTATGTTGTTTGAGGTTGTTAAGTCCAATTTGTAGCTGAGCCTGTCACCCAGGAGGTGTGCAACATACCCTTACATTGTGCCCATTAGGTGAGACCTTACCAATCCTCCTCCCCCTCTCCTACCCTCCTCTCTCCTCACTTGAATTGTGTTTTCCTCTTTTGTGGGCATGTAGTGGTCATCTAATGGTTTTATATTAGTAATGAGTAAATTGGATACTTGTTCTTCCACTCTTGTGATACTTTACTAAGGAGAATGTTCTTTAACTCCACAATTTTGTATTCTTGAGGGTAAAAACATTTTCCTTCAAATTGAGATAAAATTCACCCATATAGACTCTACAGTAAAAATCTGTAGATTTTTATTATGTATACTGTATTCAGAGTTGTGCAACAACCACTGCAGTCAATTTTAGTACATTTTCACCTCCCCCAAAAGGAACCTTATATCCAGTTATCAGTCAACTCCTGTTTCCCTGAACTCTCATCACTAGGCAACCACTAATATAAACTGTTTCTCTAGATTTTCCTATTCTATACATTTCATATAAATGTGAGTAGCTTCTTCAATTAGCATAACATTTCCAAGGTTCATCTATGTTGTAGCATATATCAGTATAATATTCTATTATATGGATATAACACATGTATTCATCAGTTGATGGACATTTGAGTTGTTTCTTTTTGATTATTATGAATAATGCTGCTAGGAAGATTATAAAAGTTTAGTGTTGATTTCTGTTTTCATTTTTCTTGGGTTTATATCTAGGAGCAGAATTGCTGAGACATATGGTAACTCTATATTTCACATTTTGAGGAACAGTGAAATAATTTTCTAAAGACATTGCATGGATTTATATTACAACCAGAAATGTATTAGAGCTCCAGTTTATCCACATTTTCATCAACATGTGTTAACATCTTTGTGTGTACACAGTTGCCCATTATGGATATGATTTTAAACAGTTTTGTAATGGCTAATGATGTTGAGTATCTTATTCTGTGCTTATTGATCATTTGTGTATATTTGGGTAAATTTCTTTTAAGATCTTTTGCCTATTTTTAAATTGAGCTACCTTTTTATTATTGAATTTTAAGAGTTCTTCATTACTGTGGGTATATTACTATTCAGATATATGATTTACAAATATTTTTTCCCATTCTGTGGATTGTCCTTTCACTTTCTTGAATGGTGTCTTTATAGCACAAAAGTTACTTTTAATAGAGTTCAATATGTTTGTTTTTTCTTTTGTTAGAAGTATTTTTGGCATTATATTTAAGAAACCAGTGCTTGCCAGTCTGCAATGTAGATATATGTCAAACCATCCTGCTGTACACCAGGGGAGTCCAATCTTTTCTCTGCCTCACATTGGAAGAAAGAGAGTTGTTTTCGAGCACATATTAAATGTAAAAACACTGATGACAACTGCTGAGCTTAAAAAATGGTCCATGCATATTTTTTGTGATGTCCTACACCATAAATAAGCAAAATAGTCCTCAAATAATCTGCATGTAGCCCATAGGCTTCCGGTTGGACACTCCTGCTGTATACCATAAATACATAGTATATCCAATTTTTGTGAATTAGACATATACAATTTTTAAAAGACTATAACCTAGTCCAAAGTCACAAATATTTAAACATATGCTTTCTACTAAGAGTTTCATAGTTTGGCTCTTAGGTTATCTCTGTGATCCATTTTGAGTTAATTTTTGTGTATGATATAAGTAAGGGGTCCAACTTAGTTGTTTTGCATGTGGATATACATTTGTTGCAGTATCATTTATTGAAAGACTATACTCATTGAGTGTCTTGGCACTCTTGTCAAAAATCACTTGGCTGAAAATATGAGGATTTATTTCTGGAATTTCAGTTCCTTTGGTCTACACTGACGGTACTTTATTTCTCAATTACTGTAGATCTGTGTAAGTTTTAAAATAGGAAAATGTGAGTTTAAAAACTTTGTAATTTTTCAAGAATGTTTTGGCAGTCTGACTCTCTCTTTTTTTTGGAACAGAGTTTTACTTTGTTGCCCTCGGTAGAGTGCAGTGGTGTCACAGCTCACAGCAACCACCAACTCTTGGGCTTAAGCAATACTCTTGCCTCAGCCTCCCGAGTAGCTGGAACTACAGGCACCCATCACATACCTGGCTATTTTTTGTTGTAGTTGCTGCTGCTGTTTTAACTGTCCAGGGCTGGGTTCGAACCTGCCACCTCCACCTCCGTATATGGGGCTGGCACCCTACCTGCTGAGTCACGTGCTACCTGGTAGTCTGACTCTCTTGAATATCCATGTGAATTTTGGGGTCAGCTTGTCAGTTTCTGCAAAAGCTGAGATTTTGATAGAGACTGCATTGATTCTGAAGATCAGTTTTGGGGGTGTTGTCACCTCAACAATGTTAAATCTTTTAATCTGTGGATGTGGGGTGTCTTTATGTAGGTCTTCCTTAATTTTTTTAGACAATGCCCTATTAGTTTTCAGGGTACAAGTTTTGCATGTATTCATTATTACCAAGTGTATTTCTTTGGATGCTATTTGTTATACATAGAGTTGTTTTCTTGGTTTCATTTTTGGACAGTATAATGCTAACATATAGAAATGCAATTTGACTTTTTATTTTAAAAATCAAATTTTATTTGAGTTCTTCATAAAAGCATTTGATATAATCTAGTTGTAAAACATTGAATTTCTATGCCTGATTTTGCCGCATAACAGACTGAGAGATTGTCTTCATAAAAACACATTGAATCAATGATATCCACTGATTTTTATAAATCTGGAAAAAATGTCAATTTTCTTTTCTTGACATTGATGGAATGCTTGATAATGAAAATATATAAAGTATATTACATGTCCTTATTAATAAACAATATCCTTAGTCGGTGAATGATTAAGTGCATATTTTTCTTCAAATCTTTCCACGTATTTTTTCAGCAATTGTCAGACATAGTTTTAATAAGAAATTGATCTAACAAATGTACTTAAAACTGATTCACTTGAAGAGCTGTTAAACAAATGTGAAATATAACAACTCTGCCATGAAATATAAATTTGGGGGGGAAGTATTTATTTTAAATAAGCAGCAATGGAAATCTATTCTGTAATTTGTCATCAAGAGCTCCAGTTATCTTGAGAGATCTCACAGTTGGACTTTGTACATTAATTTTGTAACCTCAGCTTGCAGAACTCTTATAATCTTTATTGTATTTCTTAGGATTATATTTATAAAAGGTTGTGTCATATGCAGATAGCTTTAGTTCTTCCTTTCCAATCTGGATATATCTTATTTCTTTTTCTTGCCTATCTGCTCTGGTTAGAATCTTTAGTATAGTATTGAAGACAAGGGATGAGAGTGGACATATCTATATGGTTTCTAACCTTAGAAGGACATTCTTTCACTGGTTGGTATGATGTTAGCTGTATGTTTTTTCTATACATGCTATTAGATTTATAAGCCAGGTACAGAATGACAGAAAAGTTGCAAGAATTATATTTTGAACTTTCATATGTTTATTCTTGCCACTTACATTTGACAATTATCATTTTGATATATTCATTTTATATATCATCCTCTGCCCATACATCAATATTTTTTGGATGTGTTTTCAAGTTGCAGATGTCAGTATACTTTAACCCTTAATACTTCAGTATATATAACATTAGAATTTAGGATTTATTTCTAATACTTTTTTCTTAATTATTCTTGAAGTAAAATTGAAATACGGAGAAATCACAAATTTTATCACTGATGAGTTTTAACTAATATATACCTTGTCTAATCCAATATAAAAAAAATCACCTCTACTCCATAAAGTTCCTCAGTATTCACCAGTCAGTCCTGAAGGCAATCACTGTTCTGATTTTTTTTCCCACAATAGCTTAGTTTTACTTATTCTGAGCTAAATATAAATGTGATCATATTGTGTGAACTCTTTGGTGTATGGCTTCTTAGCATAATGTTTTTCAGAAACATCTATGTTGCATCTATTAGTTTGTATCTTTAAATTGTTGAATAGTACTTCATTGTATGATTATACCTCAGTTTCCTATTTGATTCTCTTGTTTATGGACAACTAGGCTATTTTCAGTTCTTTACTATTATGCATAAAGGTGATGGGCATACTTATACAAATAATTTTGTGGACATATCTTTTAATTTTCCTGGGTACATACATAGGAATGGAATTGACAAGTCATAAGACAAACATATGTTTAATTTTATAAGAAATTGTAAGGTATTTTTCCAAAGTGTGTGTTTCATTTTACACTCTTATCAACAATGTATGAGCTTACATTTCTCCATATTCTTGTCAATATTTAGTGGAAGTCCTTTTTTTTCCTTTTAAAAATAATTTTAGAAATTCTTGTGGATATATAATGGTATTTGTTGTGATTTTAATTTTTATTTCCCTGATAGCTATTTGTATCATTTTCTCTCTTTCAGACAGTTCGACATGGTTTCCCTTATCAGCCCACAGCGTTAGCCTTTGATCCAGTTCAGAAAATTCTGGCTATTGGGACAAGAACAGGTGCTATAAGAATGTATCCTTATTATTTTCTTAATTCTTCACTACATTAATACCAGTTAGATTATTTTAAACATTCAGGTAAGAGAAATATTTATGACTAAATAAAGTTTATTGTTTCTTTAGAAGTGAATAACTGTTGTAAAAATCTTGTTTGTCAAATTTATTGGCTTTTTTTTTTTTTT